GTTATTTGGTTTGATTTGAGTTCCAACTTACGTGTTTCTTTCCTTTTCAAAGTTATCCACATCTTGGAGCTATTTTGAAAATTCTTCAACATTCCCCCACCATTTTCAAAATTGAACAACCCACTAATTGTTTTGGAAATCTTATGCATACATGACAGTATCTTACGATTTGAACCTTTCACTTAGTGAACATGTGTTGGCAAGTTAGTCAGAATTTTATGGTAGACCAATGCTTGGAACCAACAATTCTAAGTGACTAATTGGGCACATGTCACACACAAGAATTCAAGCTGTCAAAAGAAAGAATTTAGTATTTGCCAACACAAAAATTGGCCATGTGTCCTGTATCTTTTTCATGAGTGCTATTAGAGTTAAGTTCCTAACTCCTAGAAGCAACAACACTTCTACTCACATAGGTAGATCCCATCAAAGGTATCCTTGCATTAAGTACTTTAATAGAAATTTGTTATAGAACCTATTAAGAGCAAAACTCAACCTCCCCTTTGTTTCATACAGTTACCAAGTGCTCTTCCACCTAGGATAGTATTATTTATAAATTGAGTACTTGCAGTCACATTCATATAATATACTTTACTTATTGAACTTAAGACTTGAAATTTTTTTATCAAGCGTTAAGTCAAGGTTCCATCATAGGTGACTTTTATCAATGGATTTGAGACCCATCCTTATTGATGTTTTATATACTTTTTCTTTAGTTTATCTCTTTGATAAAGGATTTGCTAAATTTTCACTAGACTTTACATAGTCTATGGTGATCATCCCATGAGCAATTAATTGCCCTACATAACTATGTCTTAGACCAATATGTCTAGACTTTCCATTATATACTTGGCTATAAGCTTTTGCTAATGTAGCCTCCTTATCATAAGGCATTGAGATCAGGAACATCACCCTTGGCCATAAAGGAATTTCATACAATAAATCTTTTAACCATTCCCTTTCTTTATAAGTAGAGTTTAAGGCAATAAACTCAGTTGCCATGATGGGATCTGTTAGGCAAGTTTGCTTCTTGGATCCTTAAGAAACAATACCCTCACCAAGCTTGAAAATCCATCTAGTTGTGGATTTATGATCTTCATGATCTGTGATCCAACTAGCATCCATAAGCGTTCTAATATAGAAGGATAACAATTATAGCAAATGCCATAATACATAGTTTTCTTGAGATATTTCAAGACTCTATGTACTCCTTGCTAATGTACTTAAGGAACAAGGATTACTTGTGTATCTACTAGGTTTCCCAATAGCATATGCTATATCTAGTCTTGTGCAAATCATTGCATACATCAAGCATCCAATCACTCTTGAATATTCTAATTGTGCAATTGGTTTTCCATCATTAGATGTTAACCTTACATTAGGATCAAATGGTGTAAAAACAATTGCACAATCGTAAAAATTAAATTTCTTCATGACTTTTTTTATATAATGGGACTGAGAGAGTATTAAATTATCATCATCTCTATGTATTTTGATTCCCAAAATTACATTAGTAACACCCATGTCTTTCATGGAAAAGTTTCTAGACAAGAACCTTTTGTTTTCTTCAACT